TTTCTTTCTTTCTTTCTTTTTCTTTCTTTTTCTTTCTTTCTTTCTTTTTCTTTCTTTCTTTCTTTCTTTCTTCTTCTTTTTCTTTCTTTCTCTTCCTTCCTTCCTTTTTCTTTCTTCCTTCCTTCCTTCCTTTCTTTCTTTCTCTTCCTTCCTTCCTTTCTTTCCCTTCCTTTCTTTCTTTCTTGTCCTTTCTTCCTTTCTTTCCTTTCTTTCTTTTTCTTTCTTTTCTTTTTCTTTCTTTCTTTCATTTCTTTCTCCCTTCCACTCTTTTTCCCTTCCTTCCCTCTTTCTCATTCATTCTTATTCAAATATTTGAAAGAGTTGTCATCCTTGTGCTTTCTACTATCCTCCTGAGGAAAAAAAAAAATCCCTTGAAGGGAATAGAGAGGAACATGTTGATGGTTCATGAAGCTGGTGAGAATAATCTTTCTTTTGGTGACTTTTCTTTCCTTCTAAGCATCTCCAAATCTTATTGCTTTCCACAGAGTAGTTTTACAAAATAATGGGTTAGTCATATTATTTGTCTCTGAACACGGCTGTCCGGTTTTCATTTGAAGAGGAAGTAAGTGAGCTTTCACAGCCTTTCTTGGCAACAGATAGTTTAAAATCTAGATGACTAAAATTGGAAAGTAACTGGAATAGAGATAATCAGTTTGGAAATGTATTAATAGAACACTAAACTTGGAATTTATACGCATAGCTAAAGAAGATTCATCTGTGTGTTTGTTGTGACATTTCTGCTCAACTTTCTGGATAAGTATCTGTAATGTAACTGTGAACTAATTAGGGTAAAATACTGTACTGAAGTGATATTAGTGAAAGAATGTGTCAGGTGTTCTTGGCTTGGGGCTTTTCTTTCTTGTTCCTCTGGGTAAAAGCAAGGAAAGGATGGAGGGAGGGAAATTCATCTTCATCTTTTCCAGAAGATAAGAGATGTAATGGTTTAATGCGATTAAAGGTTTAATGGCTTCATGATCCACAGCTGTCCCAGACAGAGCAAGTCCCCTCTTGACTTCTGGCCAGGAGGGTCCTCAAGGGTGTCAAGAAGGAAGCTGGAGCTGAATGGGTGCTGGTTCCTTTGCCCATGGAGGTCCTATGTGGTGGTTGTCGAAGGAAACTTTTCAGATGGGATGAATCTCTAGATCTGTGTAATCAAGGTTATTACATTAATGTAACATTGCTAATTTCCCTGAGAAGGCTCCAGTACATGTGGAAGGATACTATGTTCTTTCACTGGTGTGTTGCTTCTCTGCCCACCTGGGATCAGAGTGGCAATGGTGACGGCAGGGAGACAGTTCCAGTAGTATAACCCCACATGGGAGCTCCCTCTTCTGTGTATGCAAAGGAATAGGGGCTAAAATTCATGTCAAGGCAGAAAAATAGAGACTAGTTTCTCACTGGAGTAAACTAAGAAGGGAGAAATGTGAGAATCTGTATCTGAATTTGCCTATTTCAGTTTGCAAGCATAATGTAAATAGGAGTGTTAGGATGAGATTTTCTTTACAAATGTGCTCTTACCTGTATGGTAACAACACCGTGTTTTGTACAGCTGTTTGGAATTAGTAGAACTGTTGTTGAATGATGAAATAAATACATCACTTAATTAGCTGTGTACCATTCAGATCAATATACCTTTCTATGAGCAGAATAACAAGTGCTACTCTGATTCATGGTAATCAGTAATCATTGGTTACTGATATAGTATAGCATCAGACAGACTTGTGAAAATTCGAAGGAAAGATTTTTTTTTAATCTCATCATGAAATTCCATCTAGAATGGATTCCATATAGAGTATATTAAACTAGAAATCTGGATATACCTAGAAGTAGCTTTAAACAATGAGCAAAAAATGATAATAATAAAAAGCTCTTTGTTTTTCATGTAGAGGAAAATAAGTTTGGTTTTTTTTTTCCTAATACACATAATTTACACTAATATCCATCTCAGGAAAGTGTATACTGTAACCCCTTCACTGTGTGAAAGTACTTGTTTATTATGGTCTGTGAGCCTTTTTTGACCAAGCATACAGAATAAGGAATTCTGCTCTCAAAGCCTTACAAGGTCTGGTGCTAGTGAATACATGAGTATAACGGTGCTAACAAAAATCACTTCTTTTTTTTGACCCATTGCCTCTTTATCCCCTTTTGAGTGACTAGTGTTAACATCATTGCCTACATGTATTCATGCATGAGAACTTTTAATCACAGCTTTCCTGCACTGTGTGGCTGTGCATATGTGGATACACATGTGCTGTCATGTTAAAAGATGATGAAATGGTTTTTGATCTAAATATTCTCCTGTCATTTACTCTGTTTTGCAGTGTGTTCACATAAGTGTTCTGTCCAAATTCCTGTACTGAATAATGTATAAACAGTTAAATCCTGCTATGGAAATTATTTTTTGCTTAATATTGAATGAATATGCAGTATACAGGTGAATATAATATGCATTATACATAGGTACTATTGGTTGTTAGTTACTGTTTTTCAAACAAGTTATACGTATACACACTCATACATATACACATATGTATACCTATATCAAGTTATATAATTGTTGATGTCTGCCTTGAGCATTGTAACCTACTGATGTCTAAAGAGAAACCTGCATGGTTATTTTTGCCGAATAGTGATAAAGAGTAGGGCTACCAAAAATGCACTGGAACACAGGGAAAGATATAGAATCAAAATATATTCTTGGCTATACTGAGAACACAACTGGATTGAAAATTATGGGTCTCTTCATATATGAAGTGATAAATATATTAGTTCTGAAGAAATCTAGCAATTTCTGTTTTATGGAACAGATAGTTTTCAGAATATAAATTGTACAGTTCATTGGTCAGATTGATTTCCTTGCATTATGGTCAAAACTATCTTTTGGATGGTTTGTGAGTAACATCCTGCCAAAAATATTTTACATTCTTGTGTCTACAAAATGAGAACTGTTTTTAATTTACGTAAGAAGCCTAATCAAAATAGCATATAATGTAGCTCTGAACCAGATAAAGGATGCAATATTTTTGGAAGCAATTGTATATTTATTAAACATGATTTGCCTTTACTTTTGTGTCTAAGCATTTATTATTTTCGACTCGTTTTCCAGAGACACTTCCAGAGACACTTCATTACATTACTGTTTGTTTTATTGCTACTGCAGTATTAAAAATATTCCCTGTTACTTATAAATAGAAACTTCGTATGGGTTCTGGCAATTTTGGTTCTGACCAAAAGTGAAAATAAACTCTTATTAGATTATGGCACCTCATATAAGAAATTATTATGGTCACTTATGAATGAACGACCTTTGCATCCAAGAGAACTGGGAAAGGGCAAAGGCAATACAGCTTGTGTTTCTACTGCACCCCATTTGTAGGCAACAGTATAGCAGACGAATATGCAGTAAAAAGAAACAAAGTCTGAAAGTTAATACCCCAGGCGC